ATATAATTTATTACCCTATGCATGTTTTTATATTAATATATGGCTTATATATTGTTATTTAATAATAATAATAATAATAATAATAAAACAGCAACAAAATATTAATATAGAATTGAGTGACTAACAATAATAATCAGATTGTTTTATATTTATTATTATTATTATTAAAAAGGTAGTAAGCCAATCAAGGCTGTGTGTTACAGTGATTTGTAATATGGTTAAGAGAGTTTACCTGAGGTGAAATCACTGTTATTGACAGCTACTCGTGGCATATTGGGTTATTCTTCATTCACATGGAGAGAACAAAACCTGGACCAAAAGCGGTCACAATATGCCCATAAATAAATGCATATTTCAGAAAATGTGAGCACAGAAGTGTAAAAACGGTCCATTTCATGACAACTGCTCATTCATCTTGTTCCCCTTCCTTTCTCAACGGCTGTCTTTCCTAGTGAAAAAAATGACCACATCTAGCAGAGCAGATACAACACCAAAAATATCCCCCTGGAAGCTGATGACGAAGCTCATTTTTATTCTAATCATACGAACACAATGAGAGGTAATTTAGTGAAAACGGCCCTCATCATCTGCCTGATGGACTGCAGTATATCATACTGAACACACACTCGTCGCGTGCTTACCCGCGGAGCCTGGAAGACTAGTGAGAGCTCTTACAGTGTGTTACGAGCTCTCGGGACCCACACAAAGAGCTGATAGAACAACATTTGGGCTGGTTTTATGATGTACTTGACTGTTTATCCATTTAACTCGGCACAGAACAGAACGATTCATTCTCTTTGATAATAAGCCCATGAGCTCAGATTATCGGCTGGTTGTTCTACAGAATCTTCTGCCATCCCTCTTGCTTGCTTTGTCTCCGTACCCCTTTTATTTTAGGTCTACAGTATGTAAATGTCTATTCTCTATTGGGAGTTATTTCAAGCTTCTGACAAAAAAGCTGGAGTCATGCTGCGCCAAAACGCAAATTCAATGTGGAATTCAACATCAAATCTTTCGTTTTTTAGCTTGTTCCAGTGAACTTTTCTTTCGAGGTACTCCCAGGTATGCTGTGCCACTGTAAAACCACTCTGTGATACGACAAGGAAACATTTTACATTTACTGTATGTGTCAATCATGGAATCTTTGGCACCTATTTTGAAATGTTATGCCACTATTTCCTCTGAGGGGTTTCAGTTTCCACAGAGATATAAAATGTCAGTGTATAAACCTCTAGTGAGAGCGTTTCATCTCTTACCTTCCCGTGAAAATCAGCCTGTGGCGGTACTTTAGTGATGATAACACCATGGTACTTTGTGAGATAATCATTGTAAAATAATTATCATAAACATCAGCAAATGAGTTAGGACTAATGTTGCATCCCATAATTACTATGTCACTGTCTGAATGCCATATTAATACATACAACTGTTTTATAATGTTTTTGAAAGAAGTCTTTTATGCTCACCAAGGCTGCTGATAAAAAATACGGTAAAAACTGTAATATTGTGAAATATTATTACAATTTAAATGACCCCATTTCTATTTGAATATATTTTAAAATGTAATTTATTCCTGTGATGCAAAGCTGAATTTTCAGCATCATTACTCCAGTCTTCAGTGTCACATGATCCTTCAGAAATCATTCTAATATGTTGATTTGCTCTTCTTATTATTGTCAATGTTGTGCTGCTTAACAATTTTGTGGGAATTGATTTAATTTTCATTTTTATGAATAAAAAGTTGAAGCTGTGAATAGAAAGTTCAAAAGAACAGCATTTATTTCGAATAGAAATATTTTGTAACATTTTAAATGTCTTTTTCTGTCACTTTTAATTAATTTAATGGCCATTTACAATCCTGTGGAAAGCAGATCAGTGTTTTGCCCATTGTTAAAATGTGTTTATGCCGTTTCTTAACATCTCTGATAGCAGTTTTTTTTTTCTCCTGAGACAATCAAACTCTCACGACTCTTCACTTTGTCATTCTACTAGAGAAAAACAGCCCTTTAGGCAGAATATCAAAAGAACAAAATCCAAATTGCCTTGAAATTGGATTCATTCGTGCTGCTCGGGTTCAAAACAGACTAATAAGAAGCTAAATCACAGAGGAACGTTCGTATGTGTGTGTACAGAACCATTTTCCATTTCCCTTCAATTTAGTTACGTCTCGCAATCTTTACACATTTACAGGGTGAATGTCACAAAAACATGCCCAGATCATATTTCACCCCAAAGGAAATTATATTTTACTTAAAGAAAAGCAAGTCTATTTTAGGACATTATTTTAATGACAATTAAGATCTTTCTCCCTCATCACCTCATTTTCATAACCGTGCGCGGATGTTTTACTCATTTTTGTGAAATTCTCATTGTTGTAAATGGTGATTCTCTTTAGATTCACAAAACTTTAACAATACTATGCCGTTTCTTAACATCTCTGATAGCAGAGGTTTTTTTTCTCCTGAGACAATCAAACTCTCACGACTCTTCACTTTGTCATTCTACTAGAGAAAAACAGCCCTTTAGGCAGAATATCAAAAGAACAAAATCCAAATTGCCTTGAAATTGGATTCATTCGTGCTGCTCGGGTTCAAAACAGACTAATAAGAAGCTAAATCACAGAGGAACGTTCGTATGTGTGTGTACAGAACCATTTTCCATTTCCCTTCAATTTAGTTACGTCTCGCAATCTTTACACATTTACAGGGTGAATGTCACAAAAACATGCCCAGATCATATTTCACCCCAAAGGAAATTATATTTTACTTAAAGAAAAGCAAGTCTATTTTAGGACATTATTTTAATGACAATTAAGATCTTTCTCCCTCATCACCTCATTTTCATAACCGTGCGCGGATGTTTTACTCATTTTTGTGAAATTCTCATTGTTGTAAATGGTGATTCTCTTTAGATTCACAAAACTTTAACAATACTGTAGTGCAAAAAAAAAAATACTACTATATGAATTATAACCAGTACATACTTTAAAAGCATCAATATATATCATTGTATATAATCATTTACTATACTTAGAATTAGATTTTTTCAATATAATTATGAAAATTTGATGGGAAAAATGTACTTAATTTTCATTAAAATAATGCCATACAGCAAAAAAATAAAAGAATAAAATAAACAATTTTGCATTATTTTTAGATTATTAATAGATTAACTAGATTTTTTTTTCATTATAATTATGAGAATCTGGTGGGGAAAATATGCTAAATTGTCATGAAACTAAGAAAATAATATCATAAATAAATAAATACATAAATTTGATATATTACAATTATATAATTATTGTACTGAAAATAAATACAAATAAATGTAATATTGTAATTAAAATAAATATAAAAAAATATAGGCTATCATATCATTATTTGTTGTTATTTTAATTACTGTAATTATAATTAGATTTTATTCATTATAATTATAAGAATTTGGTGGGGAAAATATGCTTAATTGTCATAATATCATACAGCAATAAACAAACAAACAAACTTTTTTCTGCTACAGGATATTACTGACATGAAAATAAGCAAAATTAAATATATAATTATTATAATTATGTCATTATTGTCATAAAACAAATACATTTATAAAATACAATAAAATAAAATAAAATAAAATAAAATAAAATAAAATAAAATAAAATAAAATAAAATAAAATAAAATAAAATAAAATGTGAACCAGGTTAAGTTCTTGAGAAATTCACCTTTACAGTGTCTTACACATAATAGTAACTGGACAGATCTTGGAATGGAAACTGATAGGACAATAAATGGTGCCAATATGATTTGAGGAAATAACCTTCTCAGAGGTTTTTGTCCTTATTTGCATCAGGGCTGTTGAATCACATTACTGTCTCATCTGCATTCATCATCACACACAGATTGTTCCACTATAATGCAAATGATCACACCGTCCTCTTTAAGATTCATCCTGTATGAGTGTGTGTACCTGTTGGAGGGTGTTGAGAAGACCCCCAGGATGACGTCCCTGCCCTGCATGCGTATGATGGGGCTGGTGGACTGCAGCAGGTTGAAGTAGAAGTGTGAGTCTCCCGGGATCGAGCAGTTCAGACGTGCTTTCAGAAACGACGTCCACTGGCGCTCCAACACACGCTGAGAGCCGCCCAAATCACCTTTACACACACGTGCCACGCGGGACACCATCACCTAATGCACACACACACACACATATTCAAAAAGAAAACGGTTCAGTTTTTATACCACACAGCCTCTATTCAGTTCTACAATCAAAGTAACTATTCACCGGAGAACTGCTTTTCAACCTCGCACATCAATCGTGAGAATTCAGTCGTTTGACGATAGTGTAAAAACTTAAAGGAACCATGCTCTGCTCTACTGCATTTTATTTTATTTTTTTACAGTCCGATTATAAAGTTGGTCAAGTCTTCTTGTGCCAAAAGCAGTCATAATTTAGTTTTATCCGACCATTTTCCCACTTCTAAAGGAACTGGAGAGAAAAACATTATGGATAGAGAGGACTGGTATTTTAGCCAGTTTGAAGAAAAACGTATTAATAATGGATTTGTTTCTTACAAACATGCAGCTTTTCACTTGATAAGATGTTAACTGATGGACTGGAGTGGTGTGGATTACTTGTGGATTATTGTGATGTTTTTATCAGCTGTTTGGACTCTCATTCTGACGGCACCCATTCACTGCAGAGGATCTACAGGTGTGCAAGTGATGCTACATTACATTACAAATCTGTTCCCATGAAGAAACAAACTCACCTACATCTTGAATGGCCTGAGGGTGAATACATTGTCAGCAAATTTTCATTTTTGGGTGAAATTTTCCTTTAAATTAAAAATGTTTGCTACCATACCTTTACAGTACTGTACCTTTAATATGTAAATGACCTCTATTATGATTGGCTGACCTCTGAGCATCGGGCGGTGCACTATCAAGTTCCTCAATACTGAATTGTCATGGATAGCCAGTCATTTATTAATGTGCAAGTTTTGAGTATGACATTACAACCTTGATTAATTTAGAATTATTAATTAAGCAGTTTACTTTCAATAAATGGAAAGAATAGATTGTTGGGGCCAGTCATTTTTTTGTAAAGAAATTAATACTTTTATTCAGCAAGTATGCGATAAAACTTTCTATTCATCAAAAAATCTTGAATGATTTCTGAAGGATCATGTGACACTGAAGACTGGAGTAATGATGTTAAAAATTCAGCTTTTTTAAATATACATTTTAAAATATATTCAAATAGAAAACTGTTATTTTAAATTGTAATCATATTTCACAATATTACACTTTTTACTGTATTTTAATCAAATAAATCAATGCAGCCATTCTAAGCATAAGAGCCTTCTTTCAAAAGCAACAAATTTTACCAACCCCAAACGTTTGAACAACAGTGTAAATGTCTGCCTGCACATTTCTTTCTTACCTTCTCCAGGTAGTTGAACTCCATGGCCATCTCCCTGAAGAAGAAGTAGATATGAGGCCCCCATTCCACGGCGCTCACAAAATAAGGCTCTGTAAGACACACACAAACACAGGCTTTAATTATACAGTCTGAGGGCGTCCTATGGAGAAATTGCAGCTCAAATAAGTAAACACTCATCAGTCATTATAAAGACATTTCATCTGAACAAACAACATATGCACAGTCCCAGAGGGAGGCGGGGAGAGAAAGAGATATACAGCGAGAGAACTAAATGAGGCAGAGATAGTCCTCATAAAACATGCATGTTCTCTTAAATAAAGCTGAGAGAGTGAAGTGAGGACATTCAGAGGTCTTGGCCTCTCCTCTCTCTCTCTCTCTCTCTTGAGCAGTATGTGTTTTATAAAGCAGTCACAGGTCTTTGTAGCTCAAAACGGGATGTCAGTCTCACTCCCTCAGTGATTCCTTTATAGAGATATTCAACTCATAGCTCTCCAGCATTCAAAGTTCAAACAGAGAGCTCTAAATTATACACACATTCAGCTTTTCTCGTCTGAATGAGGCTCCAAGAGCTCCGTGCAGTTTTCCCGTGGTTACAAGGTCTCGCATATTTGTGAAAAACAACTCAATTTAAAAAAAAAACAATTTTTTTTTAAATCCCAAATGGTTTTGTTAGTGCTCTCGGTATGTCTGGTGTGAAATCACACTCCGAATTCAGTGCTGTGAACTGCTTCCTGAAACTATTTTAAAATCCACAAAACAAACCCCGCTTCAGGCTGACACAGGGACGCGGGAAGTAGGGGTGCTGAGGGGGCTGCAGCACCCCCTGTTTTCACATGGTTGCAAATGCAACGCCAAGTTTGTTCATTTAAATTTATTCAGCTTTAGCATTTAATAATGTATTTGTAATGATCTCTGAAATGTAAATTGTAAGTGGGCTATAATAAACCCATGTTTATCTTTATAAACATGATTAATTTTACTTGTGATGTTTTCTATATGGGATGATTAGCCTAATCCTCATGAACACGTGACGCTGGCGCGTGGTATCAGACATAAACTATACAGAATGAGAACAAGGTTAACTTTAATACAAGGAGATAATGGCGCAAAAGCAAATTTCAGATTTTTTTAAATGCCCTTCCCTGCAAAAACTTTCGAAAATCGGCAACCACACCAGCACGAGCACCGACGTAAGTGAACCAGACACAGCACGAGCACGGAGACAAGTAAGCCTAGCGGACCCAGCCCAATCCCCGAGATTGATCAGCTACTATCGATAATTTCAAAAATGTGATATGCAGTCAAATTTCCCAGTGTGTATGCCACTTAAACGAGTGTTCATATCGACGCGGTTATAGTGCTTTGTGGAGTTGTCAAATGAGGTGATAATGTTTTTGAAACATGCTCATGAAAGCTTTTTATTTGTTTATTTTTAATACAATGAAACAGTAATATTGTGAAATATTGCTACAGTTTTAAATAGCTGTTTTCTGTCTGCATATATTTTAAAGTGTAATTTATTCCTGTGATGTAAAGCTGAATTTTCAACATCATTACTCCAGGCTTCAGTGTCACGTGATCCTTCAGAAATAATTCTAATATGCTGATTTGCTGCTCAAGAAACATTTCTTATTATTACCAAGATTGAAAACCGTTGTACTGCTTGATATTTTTGTGGAATATTTTTTCAGGATTCTCTGATGAACAGAAAGTCCAAAAGAACAGCATTTATTTAAAAAGATTTTCGTGACATTATAAACATTATAACATGTCAACTGTCACTTTTGATCAATTCTTGCTAAATGAAAGTATTATTATTTTTTTATTACTAACCCCAAAACTTTTGACTGGTAGTATACTGTACATTGGGGGGGAAGTGCATTAGGAATGTTTAAATCATTTTCCATTCTTTAAAAAAGACAAAATACTGTGGCAATGCCCAAGAACATTCATAAAATCAAAAACAAAACTGATGACAAATAAAAAAAATGTATTGATATTGCCAAACAGTAACTGTTGAAACTGTTGAAACAGTACCTCTGAACCATTTGGAATCATGCTTGATCGTTCGCAGAGCCGGACTCTCTCCCAAACTGCGGTAAATGACAGCGTCGATGGCCAGGAAGTCAGTCACTGTTCCCGTGAACAAGCTGCCCTCTGAGGTCAAAGGGCAGAGGTCAGCGGTCAATAACCAGAAGTGAGCATCGACACTGTGCCATGATGATATATGTGGCAAAGTGTTCGAACGGAAAGTCCTTGAGCTTAATGATGTTAAGAAGGTGGTAAACACATTAATGGAGGCAAATAAAACGAGGCGATATTAAATATTATTATGCTGTGTGTATCCACTGGGTGTACGGCTCTTATTATCACAGATTAAAAAGAGTGCTAAACAAATCAGTACATTCTGTGAATAATGTGAGGTAGAGTCATTACTTAGCCAGGAAAGCATGTGGGTTACCTGCAAACAGAGCCACGTTAGCGTGTTTGGGATCGTAAGGACATCGGGCCATTCCACTGATGGGCTCGCCGACCAATTCCAGAGTGTCTCTCTGAACAAACACACACACAAACTGTTTGTGAGGACGGGATATGACACTTTCTGAGAGGATGATAGCTGTTATAAACCACACATATCTCCAAACACATTCACAAGTGCTGCTATCATTTCTACACGCTTCCAGCAACAGTCGAGAGTGTTAGTGAGCGTGAGACAGTGCCTTCAAACACAACTATAGCGCGTGTCGATTTATCTTACAAATAAAACAAACCTACCTGTCTCCAGAAAGTTTTTTTTTTTTTTCAATTTTATATGAAGCAATAAATCAGCTTTGATGTTGAAATATACTGTAAAAACAAAGATTTGAAGATTTTACAACAAAATGTGAGATGTGGCCAGAAAATCTGCTCAAATCAAAAAGGGTGACTCTCATGAAGCATCCATGTGAAATTTCACCCCAAATTCAAAATAATTTGTAAAAAATATATTTTGCATCAAGAAGATGAATCATTAAATACCATATGACCAAGTGATCATTAAAAAAAAAAAGCCATTAGTGTATGGAAGCCCATTTCTGCCATGGAATAAATTTTTTTTAAAAAAGGTAAGTCAGAACTGCAATATATAAATATATTAAATGAAAAAAATATATAGAATTGTGAGATGTAAACTTGGAATTCAGAGGAAAAAAGTCAGAATTGTGAGATGTAAACTTGGAATTGCGAGAAAAAGAAATCTGTTGTTAGAAATTCAGATTGTCAGAAATCTGAGTTTATATCAAGTCTATTTTTTTCTCAGAATTACTAGTTTATATCTTGCAATTCTGTGTTTACAGTACTGTATATCTAGCAATTCAGACAGATTTTTCTCAGAATTGCGAGAAACGAAGTACGAATTGTGAGATAAAAAGTCTCAACTGTCTTTTTTAATTTTTTTGTTTTATTCCATGGTGGAAATAGGCTTCCATATGAATGCTTCATTTTCTTAATGCAAAATTATTTCTTATTTTTCCCTTTGATTTGGGGCTGATATATAATTCAGACGTGTTCCTAAAAGATTCACCCACAAAACAATTTATGTACATATGCATTCACGCTTTCGATTCAATTCAAATGAGCATCATCTCTTCAGGTTCTCCAATGTAATTATGTGTATCCATTTATTGAGTTTTAATCATTTTAATCATCAATCGTCAATTGCCCTTCCATCAATACTGATCCACTTTCATTACTGTTAATCCATTGTAAACATTCTTTCTGATGATTCAGTGGATCTGACTTACAAAGCATTTCTTAATGACTGGACTGTAAAAGAACATTTATTTTAGTAGTAAAACTGTGAGGTGGGTGACATGTTGCAAACAGCACAGAATATGTAGCTTAATCAAAAACAACAATAAACAGCATTATTAATCTAAATGTTTCTTTTGCTACAAAAAAACATTTAAAACAATATAAACGCTGTTGAATTTCTTCTACATGTAGTAGGATGAACAGAATTGTATCTTGTGTTGTTTGTGTAGAATTGCGCTTTACACGCTCTACATGTTTGCTGAGGGTAAACACAGGGGAGACGGTGAAGTCTGCAGGCATTGAGGAACACTCACCGTGTAATTGGCACACAGCGGGTTAAAAGCATTTGTCCCGCACACAAACAGCCCTCCATCATGGCTCAACAACACCTTAATATAATTACGACACTCCTCCTGAAGGAAACCGAGAGAAAAAGACAAGGATTGTCAAAAAAACAAAACATTTTAGGATTCAAACTGAAAGAGAGAGTGAGAGTTTGTATAATTATGTTATCTCAATTGGCATAAACACTATAGAAATGGCTATTCTTATTAATTATTATGTGGAAACATCGGTGATGATATCAGTCTGAGTGTATTTGTTTTGCCAGACTGATCATCTTTGAATCACAATGACTTGGCAGCATTTGACTTTCATGTCATTTAACAAAGTCATTTGAATCCTAATTCAAATTTGAGTGAAGAAGACAGAGATGAACAAAACAGTGTGTGTGCGTGTGTGTGTGTGTGTTGGGTCAGACATGAAAGGGTAAGGTAAGATGGACAAAAGAACAATGCTGAAAATTTTGACACAGCTTCACAAGTAATTTTCCCCCAGACATCATTATTTTGAGAGCTGTGTTTGTTTTGGAAGACAGACACCAGATAAGTAGGTCCCAGCTTGCAGCTCTGCCATAGAGCCCACACTGTGGGCATCACCCAAAAACACATTTTCTCCAGGTTTTTACATTGTATTTGGACTAGATTTGCACAGTATTGCTACTTGTCTTTGTGTAGCACAGAAACAGGAAGAAGCTGAATGCATCACGATGTGGGTCCAGCTATAAAAGCAGTCCTGAAAGCTACTGGATAGCCAGCTGCGAAGACTCATGCATCAGGAATGCCTTTGTTCCCTGACGGACATCAATGGAACGTTTTGAAGTGGTTTTGTGTATTTTGCTGAAACCTCTGCATGTGGGCCCCATCATGCAGCTCCACCGTAGGGCCCATTCACTGCTTTGCCCATTGAGTTTGACTGGGCCTCCTGGTGGAGCCAAAACCCGAGGGGGCCAACACTGAGGTCAGGCTCTTTGAGGTGATTAGCAGGACTACTGAGGGTCTATGTGTTGTTACAGATGCAAGTCCACCGTTCACTGTGTGCGTGTGTTTGCACAAGAGATGTTGTTACAAATGCATTTCCAGCTGCTCACAGCATTAAACACACACTCCCTAGTGGTAGATCAATTTACAGCGTGTGTGTGCATGTGTTTGAATAAGAGAAAGGACAGGGATCTTTTCATTTTTGATAAGCTGAAGAGAGAGTGTGTGTGTGTGTGTGTGAGCATATAAAATGACGCAACCTTTCACCTCTTATTATCGTGAGTATTTCCACCTGGATGCTGTGAAGGATGGGTTGAGGTATGCTCTAACATTACCACATCAACACTGCCGGTTTCTTCCCTCTGTGTGTTTTTCTTGGTGATCATCAGGATACAATGCAAATAACGGCGGCAAAATTAAACAATAGTTTGCCCATAATTACCCACCAATTAGAAGACAATACAGCTGATCTTCACCCTAAAACTGAACCCAGGCAGAAAAGTGTGTTGAGAACATCATTAAACAGCATTCACAATAAATGTAACTTCTCTCATGCAACATTTTCAAGTGCAACTGAATATTTAGCTCTGAATAATGTACTGTCTGGCCGGATATTATGACTTGATTTTATGTTCTTGATTGGATAATGTAAGGCAATGATATTAATGATGCTTGCTAAGGCAGCTATTGCTGTTTTACAGAGGACAACTAGAAACTATTACTCATTCTTTGATGAGGAGAGATTTACTACTACTTTTCTAATTCTGCAGACTTGCAGTTTTTATCTGGTGAATGATAAAAAAGAAAAAAAAATCTGTCAGGCCGATTATGAATATAATTTGACGACTGATCGTTCCTAGGCAGACCAGGTCTCTTTTAGTTGGGCTCAGTTGATGTTTGCAGTCTGTAGATGAAATTGTATAGTGTGTGGTATTTAAAGATTATAATCTCAGAATTCAAGAACCAGTCATTGCCAGTCATTTCCACAAATATTTTTCTAAATGTTTAATATTTGCGACTGATGCCAGCGATTGTATGTGCGGCTATGCAATGAAGATACATTCACTGTCAAACATAATTCATTAATTTTGACAAATATTATTTCTTGATTACACATCTTGTTTTTGATGTTTCTTTTATTTCATCAGTTGCAAGGTTTTAGGATATCCATTTTATTCTGCAGTAAAAAAAAACTGAAGTAAATTAAGAATAGTTAGTGATTTCTCTTATTTCAAAATTCTTATAGTTCTTTTATTTCAATCTGCAGTCTAAAATATTCTTCAGAACGAATTAAAAAAACACAAATATGACACCTAAAAAAATTACTTATAAGCAGTTTAATTATAGATATTCAAGGAAATTATAGTGCCTTGTCTCTGCAGCTCTTCCTTCAACTATCGGGAGTGCAGTGTTGACAGCACCATTAAATAGCATTGGAAAAAAATATATATAATTAAGCAGATTACACAAATCTGAGAAGACCTGAGATGTGTTTACTCAGGCAATAACACCAAAAAGAAAGAAACATCGGACTTAATGAAAAAAAAATATTTAAGCCACATTGTTTTGACAATTATTACCAACACCAACATAATAGGACAGATCATGTTAAGCACAAACTAAGAAAAACAAACCTTCAAAGTTTCAATAATTAAAGGGGTCATATGATGTTGCTAAAAAGAACATTATTTTATGTATTTGATTTATACTGTCTTTTTACGCGTTGCGTTGCATCACATAAAACCATGTCTGCATTTGTGATCGGAGAAATGACAAGTGCGATAGCGGCAGCCGGCGGCCTTGAGAACGGCGCGGCCGGCAGGCTTGCGGCAACCACATGTGGCGACCCCGGGCTGGACTCCACTTCGTCCACGGTGAAAGCCGATCCGGCGATCCACAGCACGAAGTTGATGTATTTCCTCAGCGACCAGCACGGATCAGCTCCAGGCATGACGAAGCGGATATCGTCCTCTTTTGGAAGGCCAAACAAAGTAGTTTCGCTTTCACAACGAAACACACGGCAACAACAATACTACAGCGAGAATCAAAGTTACGCCTTCTTTCTTTGCGTGAACATTTGGGCGGCGTTATGCAAATCTTCCCACATCGTGACGTAGACATGTGGGGGCGTGTTAGAACGAGCCGTTTTAGGTAGGCGTGGTTGACTCTTAACTTTTATAAAGAATATCTCTTTGGATTTGAGACTTTAGTCTTTGCAACTTTACAGATCTTCTTTATGCACCAAGAGCTTGTAACACTCCAAAGAGAAAGGAAAAATTGAAATCGCATCATACGACCCCTTTAAATAAAAGCACCGATATCCACAGTGTTGTCTTTGGTGGGATGGGAACGGCTGTGGGAGCGCGAGTAGATAATATCATCTGATTTTTATTGTGCAATTTTTAAAATACATTTTAATCGTAAAGTGTAGTAGTTATGTAGTGGACTACTTTGGTTTGTGTTTCTCTCTCACTGTCAAAGACTAGAATCTGCTCCAGTCTATGGAAAGTTTAGTCTTAGAATGTTAGAATGTCTAAATTGTATTCCAGGGGACGGGGTGTTTTGCTGACTAAAAAAACAACCCGAGGCAACAGTATAAAAGAAGCCAAATTGAAAAAACGGACTTGGCAACATTGGCCCTAGCAACCACCTAGCAAAGCTGTAGTAACCATCCAAAACACCATAGCAACCCACCGGAAAATTCCTAGGAACCAGCCAGAACATCATAGCACTTCAAATCAACTTTAAGTTTTGCACAGACAAGCAACACTCAATATAAAAAATATAGTTCGTTAATATTTTGTTTCCCTGCCCACGAGGCCTTGCTTACATCATCAGGATAGAAAATCTGTTTTAGCTGAGAAAATTATTGATTTTTTTGATGGACATTTTTTCTTTAGTAGAATAAGTACTAATGAAGACTAAATTCAGAGATTTATTAAGAAAGAAAATGAGCTCAGTTTTGACGTCATGTTGTTTTGAACAAAGGACTCGCTGGTACATCATAAACATCCAGCTGAACGTGAGCAGAACGGCCCAGCTGTGTCAGTGTGCTGTAAACTCTCTGCAGGGGTGGGGAGATCTTACGTTCCGCTTCATAATCTGTAAAACTGAATTCATCAGAGATGCAGGTTTGAGAGCGGGTCAATCCGTACGCCCATCAGAGGTGTAAAAAGCAGGTTTCGCTCTGGGGAAGAGCACATGTGGTTCAGGTCTCTGTGAAACACCATCAAGAAAGTGTCAAGATTTATCCTTCAGATTAGAGTGTGTGACAAGGCAGTATACGATCCCGTACCACGGCAAACTCCTTTCTACTCTGATCAAAGTCTGACTTCTCCCTTATTCCCTTCCTCTCCTGTCTTTCTTCTCACCTTCCTCACTCTCCACCACTCCTTGTTCTCTCTCTCCAAGTCTCCTTTCGCTCCCGTTCCTCCCACTCCATTCGCTTTTTGCTTCTTTCTGCACCAAAATCACTCGCTGTCAGATTAGTGCACATTCAGTACTTAACCTTTTAAAGATTCTCACATTTCTAAGGCCTCTAAATGATCGACATGATCAAAACTGTTGTTGCTGAAAAACCTGTTGTACACCATCTACTACATTCCTTCTGTTGTCTGATTGATAGTTTAGACTTTTAAGCAAGTAAAATGCCTTTTAATATCATTTAAAAACTTCCACCTTCAGTTCACGATTTATGTGCTTTTTTGCTGTGAAATCTTTACTCATTTTTATGAAGTAAACGTAATACCTTTTATATCGTTTAATATTTCAAAATGAACACTTACTTGACTGAAGCAAATGTCTATATTTTATATTTACTTATATAATATCAAGACATATTGACAGGTTTTTAAGACGGATATACATCTACATGTCATATATATCCAAAAATGTATAACACATACATATTAGTAATGGCTAGATATACATGATAATACATATGAAATCGTTCCAATCTGTAATAGGTTTCATATATGTTTTTACTTTATATGACAATTAAATTTCATATATGGACATTTAATATATGTACATTTGTGTATGGGGAGCTCCATATTCTCATTATATCATACTATACAGTATAAGCCATAAAAGCC